AATAATTAAAAAAAATTCTTTTATTTGAATACCGTAATGAGTATTACATATTTTAAACCGGTTTTTTTTGGATTACGAATTTAAAAAAAATTAATATATGAAATAAATGTTGATTCAATTATTTGTTTTGCATTATTTACAACCTTGATATACATAGATGCTTGAATATGATATTCATGGTTTTTTTGCCTTCGAATATGTCTCAAAATTTAGAATTTTCCAAAATCCTAATTATATGTATATACATACATACATATGTATGTACATATGTATATCGAAAATTAGCCACAATATTTCACAGCCGTACTAATTGAAGCATTTTATACCTTCCGATAACAAGTAGCAATAGCAACAACTATTCACTCAGCAGGAGCACTTTTAGTGGCCTAGTCCATACATTTCCGGTATCATTTGTTTATATGGCAAACAAAGTATAGAAGGCTCGTTGCAGTGGCGGCAGCATTGCTAATGCAACAATAAAGCGCACACAAACAAGAAAAAAAGGAGCATTTACAATATCATTTGTGTTATCTTGCAGTGTCAATTGCCTATTATCAGTATTATATAATGATGGAAACAAGAAAAAAAAACATGCGAAAAATGTGTGTGCCTCTTATTAATCGCATTACAAAATTAATGACAAAACAATGCGGTAAGCATACATTTTTATATACATATGTGAAGATACTCACTGGGTCAGCGCAGACGAAACTCTTTGTACATTTGAAATAATTTTATCATAAAGGAATCTCGCACAATTATTGTAGAAAGGAATTGGATGTTATTGCTTTACTTATTAACAGAGAATTCCTTTGTGCATGACTCACCTTTGAAGTATGCTGCATGTTCTTCTTGAATGGGCAACGCAAAGCGGGATGTCCTTCCGCCTTTCCTTAGAAACAATTGCAATTTTTCGGAAGCGCAAATTTTTACGCCAAATTAAGTCTAACAACCGGCATACATAGAACCCAGTGGTGGTGTTGTTTAAAGGTGACATTAGGTTTTTAGAAATATTTCAAGGTTTTTGAGATAATGACGAGTCGAAAAGTGTGGGAATGTTGAGATAATAAAGAAGTTTTAGATTTATATTTTCTAAGTATGAAAAAATATGCTTTTAATCTTCGAAATAGTAAAAAAACGTAAAATTCCTTGAAA